AAAACATTTTTTTAAAAACCTGCCCTCTTGTGACAGGCTCTGTAATTGTTTCTCTTATCTGGTCTCTCCTGCAGAGCTTCCACCTCTTTCACTCTCTCCTCAGTGTCCAGAGCAGGGAAGAAGGGGAGCAGTGGAGGTGGGTGGGGCTGCAGTACTCCCCTCCCACTTTCGTATGGTCAAGGAGATCTCCTCCGGTAGGGAGGTACAGGATTGTCTCTTTCCCAGATATGTTCTTGTTGGGAGTGCCCCAGCCAGGTCTATCCTGGAATGGAGTTCTGTTATTGTAACTGATGTCCAGGCTCTGCCTGGGTTTGTCCCTCTCTGTCATGGCCCAGCTGTGTGGGTCCGATGTTCAGAGGATTGCTAGGGAGGAGGGGGTTTGGGTCAGCCCAGACTCACCACTGATCTCCTTGGAGTTCTTCCTCATCCTTTTCTGGCCACACCCTTTGTCCTGCATCTGGATCAGGGTAGGGGATGGGGCGCCTGGGATCAGCACTCGTCAGGTCCCTCCAAAGTTTGTGCTTTCAGGATATTCCCTCAAGGTCACAATCAACCCCTGAGTAGTTGATCCGTCAGTCACAGAGATCAGGTCTGTTGCTCCCTGGTGAGCAAATTGGAACACTTTCCTGCCCCACATTCAAGATGGTGGCAGGCCGCCTCTCTTGACCTCTCTGGTGGAGCTCTGCCTCTGAGCTCTCTCCACAGACCCTGCTTCCAGTGCCTGGCTTGCGCTGAAGTGGTAAGAGGGAGACCCTGCTTCCAGTTCCAGGGTCTGTGGAGGGAGACCCTGCTTCCAAAACCTGCTGCAGTGGTGAGGCAGAGCCTGGGGCGGTAGTCTCTCCTCACTGCTTCTTCACAGGAAAACTTTTGTCCCTTTGAAAAAAAAGATGGTGCTCAGCTTCTGTGACCTGAGAAGAGCCTGGCACCAATCAGAGAAGGCGCAGCACCAGCTGTTGCACCAGAGCCCTGGTCACTTGCTCATGAGCCCCCCAAGCGCTTGGCTTCTGTGTCCTGGGAATCACTAGGGTCCAATCCAGCAGGCGTAGAACCAACCACTACACCCAGAGAGTCCTGGCCACTAGCTCCCTAGCCCTCACTCAATCAGCCACTCACACTCCCATTCACTCATCAGCCCATACACAAAATTTTCCATATACTCACTCACACTGGGACTTGAATAGTCCGACTGCCTCAGCCGCCATCTTCCCCACCTCCCTCGTATGTCTTCTTTTGAGAAGTGCCTATTCATATCTTTTGCACACTTTGTAATGGGGCTGTCTGTTTTTTTTCTTTTCAGCATATTTGAGTTCCTTGGAAATCCTAGATGTTAAACCTTTGTCAGACATACAGTTGACAAATATCTTTTCCCAGTCTGTAAGCTGTCTCCCTGCTCTCTTGATGGTTTCTTTGGCTTTGCAGAAGCTTGTCAGTTTGTGAGGTCCCACTTGTCTATCTTATCTCTTATGGCATGGGTACTTGGGGTATTGATCAAGAATTGATTGCCAGTTCCAATTTCCATAAGGGTGTCTCCTGCATTTTATAAGGTTCTTATAGTTTGAGGTTTTACATTTAGGTCTTTGGTCCATTTAGAGTTGATTTTTGTGTATGGTGATAGGTAGGGATCTTGTTTTAATCTTCTGCATGGAGAAACACAAATTATTAAGAATCAGAGATATGATATCTCTACAGATTCAATTTGAAGATATATGAATGACAAAAAGCCATACACACACAGATGAAAAGATGTTGAACATTTTTAGTTGTGATGTTCACTACACACCTATTAGAATGACTAAAATTAAAAGGTTGACCATACTAAGCGTTGACAAAAATGTGGAGGAACAAGAACTCTCACACTGCTGGTGAGAATGAATGCAAAATTGTGTAATCACTTTGGAAAACAGTTTGGTGATTTTGTGAAAAGTATGCACTTACTGTAAGACTCATCCATTCCACTCCTAGGTGTCTAACCAAGACACATGAAAGCACATGTTTGTGCAAACACTTGGACACAAAGTTCAGCTTTATTTGAAACAGCAGAAGACTGGTAACAACCCACATGTCCATGAGCAGGTGAACAGATTAACAAATTGGGATATGCAATATGACACCACCTAGAAATGGAAAGGAATGAACTAGTGATGGAAACAGCAACATGGATATATCACTAAATAACGATGCTGAGTGGAGGAAGCAGATGAAGACTAGTACATAGTATATATACATTTATACATATATACCTATAGTACCTTCATTTTATATGTCTATATAAAAATCTGGAATAAGCATTACTGATCTGTATGCAGAAAGCAGATGGCAGATCGATAGCCGCAGGGAGCGGGCGGTGGGGTCAAGCAGGAGAAGCAAGAAGGAAGCACTGCATCGGGACACAGGGAAACCCACGCAGATGATGGACGTGCTTGCGTCTGAATGTGGTGAGAGTTTCACGGGTGGATACACATATCAACACTTCTAAATTGTGCACCTGAAATATTTGCAGTTGATAGTGTGTTGGTTATACTCTAGTAAAAATCAGTACACAAAAATTTTCGGTGCAACATGGAAATAGAAGTTTTTATCTTTAGCCATACCATTGTTCCTCTCTCATGTAGCCTATTACTAGGACACAGGAGACTCCTAGAATATGCTTTTAACGTGTTTTCCCTGTGTTCTAAAATTGTGACAAAGGCACCTGCTTAGTGATGAAAAATTCAGAAGACTTTTAAGGACAGAAGAAAAGAATTTCTGGCCATGCTGCTACTCATAAATAACCTCTTATGGTTCCCACATGCCAGCTTGTAGCTTTTCCCCACAAGTCCTGGGTTATGTCATGCACGGTGCTTATGTTCAGCTTTTAAACCTCTCGCCAGACAGTGAACATTTTCCCGTCATCAGATACTATAGATGTGAATTTTAATGTATGTATCGTACCCCATTGTATGTTTGTGTCATAATTAGTGAATCAGTCCCTTCCTATTAGACTTTCGGAATCTCGTAAGATTTATTTTTAATTAAAAGCTCACTAATGTTAAGGATATGGACGGTTTTAAATTTTAAAACCTTGCCGCATTTGTAAAGACTAGCCACTGCTGCATCTTATTTGAAAGCTGTCTGAGTGCACGCTGGGAACGAGCTAGCCCCGGGAGACACCCCAGCCGGCAGGAACCACATAAGGAACTGAAGATTCATGAACATGTGAGATGCGTGTTGCTCTGTCTTATGCCTCCACGACGCCTGGCAGGAGCTTCCTCAGTCGTGTGGCGTTCGCTTTGAGGCAGGCAGGCCCGGGGACACAGCCTTGGACGGTGACCGTCTGCGCTCTCGAGTCCTGGCCGCCACTGAGGCCCAGACACACAGGGCCAGGCTTTGGCTGTCGTGGAGCTGAGCCTCGAGCATGGCCCATGCCCAGGTGCCACAGGCCTCACTCACCCTTTCAGGAATCTCCCAACGAAAGCGTCCTCCTTGGCGCACAGAGGTCTTCTGCTAGGGCCAGAGAGGCTAGGGCAACACCGTCTGCATTCACACACTGGACAGCTTGCGTCTTCTGCGGCCGGAAGACCCGCATCCCTCAAGGCAGAGTGCGCTTAGGGATGTGGCCTTTGGCTGACTGCGGGGTGTTGCGCTCCTGGTTTTTGTAAGCTGCCCAGGCCTGGGGACGTCTTTCCCTGAGGTCATTACAATCCCGTTAAAGGGAGGTGCAGGTTGGACTCGTTCCCGGTTCTGACGCATGACATTTTGGACTTGCAGACTCCAGCGCGGACTCAGACTCACCCTTGCTGAGGCTGGTTTTGTGGCTGTGAATCCTGGATGTTGGGGATGGGAGGGAGGCCTGTGAATAGGGTGAATTCAGGAATACTGCCCTGTGACTCTGTGGCCATTGTGGTGGGGTGGACAGGTGAGCAGTCAGAGAGGTTTGGGCTTGTGAGCACAGTGACAGTCCCTCTGGCTGAGGCTGACTTGGACACCGAAGGGCAGGGGACCCCACACCAAGGACAGATCCCTGAGCCCCCGCCGCTGGACACCGTGGGCTCTAAACAGGATTTTTGTATCCTAACCCCAGGAAGGGACTAAATAAGAGAAAGCATGTTTGCCAAATTTTGTAAGAGGAAATTTATCTGAAGTTGGTTTAATTATTTAAAAATTCAATGTCCATTGACATTAACAAGTTTCCCCCCTCTATTAAAAAGATAGAAAAGCCGGGCTCGGTGGCTCAGCCTGTAATCCCGCGCCTTTGGGTGGCTGAGGTGAGTGGATTGCCTGAGCTCGCGGGTTCGAGACCCGCCTGGGCAGCGAGACCTCACCTCTACAATAAATCAAAAAATCAGCCGGGCGTGGTAGCGCACGCCTGTAATTCCGGCTACTCGGAAGGCTGAGGCGGAAGAATCGTCGGAGCCCAGCAGGTCGAGGCTGCGGTGGCCGGGAGCAGCCACTGCAC